CTCTTTTTCTGTAAAATTTAACACATTTAATAAACACGTTTAAATTGTGTTACTTTAACATATTTTTTAAATTATTTTAATAATTTTACATTTTAAATTTGTAAAGTTCAATTAATATAGAAAGCACATGTTAAATCTACACACGTATGTGTTGATTATTTTACACAAAAATTTTAACAAGGACCTTTTTTAACAAAACTATACAAAATGTTTCCAACAGTGTAGATATACATATATATTGAAATAGATTGATTGGTACTTCACCATATATGATTGATATCTACATCATCTATTTTATAATTAGAATCTGTGGATTATAAGAAAAAAATACTCTCTTATTAACGAAACTATCAATACTGACTGTTTAGAATCGAGTTATAACATCATACAGCACAGATATGAAATATTAGATGCTTTGTTATTTCGTTTTGGAAATGAATTTTCAATGAATATATATTCGTTTCGGCGTGTAGCTTTCCAAACGAAGACGTACCTGGACAAAACTTGCAGCATCCCTCCGCCACGCTGAGTTGCTCGCTGGGTAAACACGGTAGTGGTGGGCATTTGGTGTCAGTGTCGAATCTCGTGCAGGTGAAGATACCGTCGTAGCATTTGTACTCGACGCACTGCTTCGGTGAGACCCTTTCGCCGCGATCGTAAATTACGCCGTGTAACAAACATTGTTCTGCGAAGGCAAACATGAATGGCGAGATAAGTAACGTGAGGCACGAGACGGAAGTGGTCGACTGAACACGAAACTCTACGTCAATTAATCAGTCGGTTGCGTGTGTGAAAGTAAAAGACGGATTCATGTGAAAGCGACATTAGACTACTCAAGAGAGTTGTCCTCTCAAATGTCAAGAATTTATACGATGTTCTAAAGATAAGAAATATATGAAATATGAATGATAAACTATATATACTGTGCGCTAAGGAAAAGACAAGAAAAAATCCTAAATGTTGTAGGATTCTTGTCAAGCTTTGAAGTTAATTACTTAGAAATCAATGGGATTTAATAAAAATATTTTCTTATTAAAAATTATCATGGATTTTGGAATGTTATAGGAAAAACGTTTGAGAATGGAAGATAAAGGGACAAAAAAGACAGGAGTATAATGTTCCACTTACTGAGACAGGTCGGGCAACATATTGTCCCTCAAGAATGACGGGATTCTTGCAGGTGAACGGAGCGCAGAGCGTCGGCCTGCACTCAATCTCGCCATGGACGCAGGAACAATGTTGACAATCCTTTACTCAGGTTGCGCCGTCCTCGTGGACGGTACCATTCACCCTACAGGACTTTTGGCACTCGCACTCCTCCACTTTGCTTATCCTGCCCTGTGCAGCGGCTAGCTGAAAGGAAGGATGTCCATGAATTATGCCAGATAAAAAAACATACATAGACATATATAGACATATTTTATAGAATATTTTATATAATATCATATAATTATATATATTTAAATGTTTTTATATAAAATTTTTTTACCGGAAATAGACAATATGGAGCTACGAATTCAAGTATTTAACGCACAGTATGCGATATTCGCCAGCTTCGCTTTGAAGAAAAAAGATATTATACGTAATATCTGGTGTATTATATACGAAGTACTGGACACAGAGATGTACTAGAACCGACTGGAAATGTTTGGAATGGATTCCAATCGAAATTCAATTATTAATTGCCTAGATTTCTATTGTTTTTTAGGGAAAACGGAATAATTTCAATCGGAATCCATTCGGAACAATTTCATAAAAGAAGAAACTCCATTGCAACAGTTTAAAAATGCCACCAAATGTAATAAGTTACCCGCATTCACCTTGAAATTTCAGGGTGAAAAATTTTCCTCCTGAGGTGCACCCGGGTGAAGTTTCCGAACGACTTCATCTCTGTCACACTGGTACAACCTGAACGTTTCCGAACAGCATAAGCCTCGGCGGGTGCACCCGGGTGAAATTTCCAAACGCAGACTAAGATGGACGTGCGGGGTGTGGGGCCATGACAAGAGAATCTGCCCAAATTCACAATCAGATAAATAAATTAAATCGTGGCAAATAGATTTTTGATTGCGTAATTAATATCATTTATTCATACTCGATAGTATATTTTTAACACGATAAAAATATGCCTTCTACGGGCCAGCTCAGCAAACTGCGCGTCATATGGCTTCTGCACACAGGACGCGGAAACGCTTCAACGCTTGCCGCGCGGCAAGAAGCGACGCGGTAGCAAATAAACTTTTGGTTCTTACGGAAAAGCAACACGTTGATTGGCTATCGCGTCCCTTGCTACGCGGCAAGCGTTTTCTTTTCACGGTTACTATGGTTACCACACATCATGTGTCACTTTCTCACATAAATACGAAATGAGGGGCTCGATTTATTGATCCCAAGATAACGGCGGCGAGCCGCGAGACCCAACGGTGTAGTATAAGTCTTTTCTAGCAAGTTCGAAGCACGAAGATAAGCTGATACGTAAAAGTATCACTATAATTTAAAGTATTATTTATTATTTCTTTATTTTCTAAATATATAATATGGATTTAAATATTGGAAAAGGAGCTGTTAAATTAAATTATTTAAAGAATTTAAAAAATATTTGGCTAAATGGAGATATTTTTAAAGGATGGTTAACTCCCCCATCCTACAGAGGATTTTATTTTGTGCCTAAAAAGTATTATAATGCCGGTCTTGAAACGCAATCTCAAAAGCTAAAGCCGTAATAGTACGCGTAATTAAATTGATAATTTCTTCAATAACCACGATACTAAATAACCGTCTTTTAGAAACAAACTGTAAATGACTTTATTGTGATTGACCACATTCCAGATGCTCAATATGATTATATTGAAAGCGACGCCCAGCCCGGCCAGCCCGGGAAGGAGCGTCTCTTTCACAATTCGACCATTGAGGCTGATATTTTTAAATTTGACGATAAATGTAACAGGAAACTTTATATCAGAATTATAATTCGAAATCCGAAGCAAATCGTTATACCTGGTTGCTCTTGGTCGCTCTGATACAGTCTTCTTCTCCGTGGATTTTCGGCTTCTGAAGCGTAGCGTCCGTAACGTACCGCTACTCGCACCGTAATGGAAGCAAATGGAACCGAACCTGGGAGCTGACCTGGGAGGAGACCCGCGTTTAATTTATTGATTATTCGGAACCCTCAACAATTCTTTAATATGATTGGCTCGTACACTCAGATCTAAGGGCAAAGATCAATACTATTGTTAGCTGCGTTTAAACCCCTCTACTTTGGGTTTAGCCGGGTCAGCGGAAAATTCCGCTGCTCATGCGTGCCTCGCGATGCACTTTCCACACATGCGCGTGCGACTTCAATAGCTTAATGAAATATCAAGTTTGTGAAAAAAGGGGTGCTTTTAGGTCCCCTATTTAGACATTCAAGAAATATGCACAGTTAAAAAATTTAATTAAAAGTGAAAAGGAAAATAACTTAAAGAGTGAGCGTCAAGTAAAAAGCATGTACATACGCATATTTGGAAATACAGCAAAAGTTGGCTTTTCAATATGAAATATTAACATAAAAATGACAAGAGATATAAAAGGAAGAGTGTTTAAAAATAACTTTGCAGCCACATTTTTAGGCACAAAATAAAATCCTCTGTAGGATGGGGGAGTTAACCATCCTTTAGAAAATAAAGAAATAATAAATAATACTTTAAATTAGTGATACTTTTACGTATTAGCTTATTTTCGTGCTTCGAACTTACTAGAAAAGACTTTGCGCCCGTATATTACGTACATACTACACCGTTGGGTCTCGCGGCTCGCCGCCATTATCTCGGGATCAATAATCGTGCCCCACATTTCGCATGTGTGAGAAAGTGACATATGTGTGGTAACCATAGTAACCGTGCGTGAAAAGAAAACGCTTGCCGCGCAGTAAGGGGATAGCCAATCAACGTGCCGGTTTTCCGTAAGAACCAAAAGTTTATTGGCTATACCGCATCGCTTTTGGCTGTGCTTCCTCGTCCTGTGTGCAGGATGTGAAACGGTTTTTTGAAAACTTTTTCCATACTTATCATTCTGGAATTAAATTCTTATTCAAATACACTTATATATCATGTAAATGAGTATAATTAAAATCAGATGTTATATGCGGGTTTGGCTGAATCCTCTGGGTACTGCAGTTCGGATCGTTAATTGATAGGATTCATAAAAAAAAAATGTGTGCAGGAGCCATAAAGGCAGGGATGTGTTAATTACATGTCTAATTTGAAGGAAAAACAAAGATACATATATGATTTAACTATTAATTAGTTTAGTTTACCAACAACCGGTCCTTAATATGATTGATTCTTTCCTTTAGTTCTTCGCGCAGGATCTAAGTGCACGAACCAATCATATTAAAAAATTATTGAGCGTTTACCGAGCTGCAGTTTCCGCAGCCAATCAGGCTCTGCGCACAATATTAGTACATATTAGAAACAAGAATAAATATTAAATATTAGGATATATAAATAAATATTCTCATAATAAATATTTTAAATATTAGGATATATGTAAATGTGAGAATATTCCCATATTTATATCTTATATTTTATTCTTTTCCATTGTGCGTTTAATTATTATTTCTAATTCCAATTCCCCTAATTTTTCATATTTATTCTTATTTCTAATAAGGACTCTATATATATTGTGCGCAGGGTCACGGACCGCGGGTCTCATATTCAAACGCTCGATAAAAGCTTTTGTTTGACGTCGATAAATTTTGAGAGTCGATTAGTCGATAATAGCGATCGACTTCCATGACTCACATATCTCGTAAACACTCGGAGAGGAACGAGATCAACACGAGACTGAAGACCAGCTGAACGTGAGCGAGCGAGAGAAGAGAGAACAGAGAAGTAGGATTTGTCAAAAGTTGCGCTGCTGGAGCTGTCGCAGTCCGATTGCCGAGTACGGATTATTCTGCGCGTATACGTGGTGAAAAACTCCGGGAAGGCGAGAACGCGAGTTTCGTCACGAGTTACAAGATGTTTCGCAGTTCGACGAATTTTGATAAATTATTAGGTAAGCTCTTCTTTGAAATCTTGTCTTCAAAATGTCGGAGCTTTCTAAAGCCGTCATTAATCGTTCGTAGATAAGGCGACGAGTCATCTGCAGTTGGAACCAGACTGGCCTACAATTATGCAAATTTGTGATCTTATACGCCAGAGCGATGTTCAGTAAGCATAATTCCTTTATGTAAAGTATACTTTCATCTTTCGCCAAATAACTGGGGTGTAGCGACACACTGTTGATTATGTCCCACAATGGAAAAGTCGTATTAGATGTATTATTACCACTATTTGTTTCTAAACTATTTGTTTTGTATATTTAGGCCAAAAATTGCGCTCACCGCTATAAAGAAGAAGATGATAAACTGTAATCCTCATGTAGCACTGTACGCCTTACTGGTAAGAAACATACGACGTAATTTTTTTTAAAAAGATTATTATTAGACTTATTATATTTTTATATTTATTAATGTGTTTTTACTTAGGTGCTGGAATCTTGTGTGAAAAATTGTGGGACGTTGATTCACGATGAGATAGCTACTAAACAGTATATGGAGCAATTGAAAGAATTGGTTAAAACCTCTCCGCACGAGAACGTTAGACATAAAATTTTGGAGCTAATACAAGCTTGGGCTCACGCATTTCGTCACAGTCCTAGATATAGGACAGTTCAGGTGACGAATTATTGCTATTTACAATACTTGCTACAATTTAGTTATCAGTATAAAATGTTGTCTATTTCATTCTTCTGACATTTATTTTTTTCTTTTTGCAGGACACGTTAAATATAATGAAAGCCGAAGGTTATCAATTTCCTGTTTTGAAAGAAAGCGACGCTATGTTTAGAGCAGACACTGCGCCCGCATGGGCGGATGGCGAGGTGTGCCATCGGTGTCGCGTAACTTTCGGCATGGTTCAACGGAAGCATCATTGCAGAGCATGCGGTCAAGTCTTTTGCGGCCAGTGTTCGAGTAAAGTCTCTACTTTGCCCAAATTCGGGATTGAGAAAGAAGTGCGAGTTTGCGAAGCTTGTTACGAACAAGTTAACAAGTTGGTGAAAACTCCTTATTTCATTCGTCGCGATTTATATTATTCGGATAGTTTTTTGAACGTCATAGTTTTTCAGACCATCTGCAACACAAGCCAAAGATACCGATCTTCCAGTGGAGTATCTCAAAAGCACTTTGGCTCAGCAGCAACAGGTAAGTTTTGCTGCTTATTGTACTTGTATTTTACTGAATAGTAAATATAATGACTAACATTTATATGTAAATGTCATTTAAGACACTAATTATCTTTTTTAAAATAATTTACAATTAAATGGTTCGTCAGTTTTCTTCAATTAAATGTGATCTGAAGATTATCACGTAAATATCTTTGCTATTTTAAATAATTAAAAAAAAATGCAGACTACAAAATTGTATGATTTTGAGACATGAAATGCAATGGCAATGCTTTTATTATATGTAGAGGAGATTTCAAGGGCAACTCAATTTTTTTAAATGGATTTTTCTTATATAACATGATTTCTCTAATTATTCTGTAAGATGGAACGTACTATACGTTCAAGACTATGTATGTATATTCATTTATAATCAAATTAGTAGTTAAAAAATGGCTTCTCCAGTGTCTTGCTCGCAGGTACTTTTGTCCATTATTTAAAATAATTGTAATAATATTGCATTTATATAGTAATTCATGCATATTAATAGTAAAATGAATTACATACATATATAACATTTGTTATTAGTAGTTTATCTTGTTATAGGTTCCAGCTCGAAAAACAGAAGAAGAACTGCGAGAAGAGGAAGAATTAAATTTGGCAATAGCCTTAAGTCAGAGTGAAGCTGAACAAAAAGAAAAAGAAAAGAAACGTGCTACAAGTGTTATAAAGTCCAATCCAACTCCCATAACTAGAACAACATATTCTCCACCACCATCGCCCGTAAGTTTATCGTAGTTTCTATTGAATCTATTACATCAAATTGTTATTTATTAACAATTTATCTTGTTTTATGAATTCAGCTGAATGTTATGTGAACATAAATTATTATTATTTTAATTTCTTGTGAAGTTTCTAGTATAAAGTCTCTACAATTAGTCTAATTTTTCTCATTAGGGTCCTAGCCCGTTGCAGGTACAAGATGATGACGAGATTGAACCTGAACTTGCTAAATATCTAAATCGCAAGTATTGGGAACATAGGCAAACTGTAAACGAGGAGCATGGATCAAGAGTGGATGTGACTAGTCCATCTGCGCCTAACATAAGCAGTCCGATGCCCCAAAAACTTGTATTAATAAAACAGGAAAATGGCGAAATCGATACTCAAATGGAAGAATTTGTGGGTGGTTTAAGATCTCAGGTCGAAATTTTCGTCAACAGGATGAAAAGCAACTCTTCGCGAGGCAGATCAATTGCTAACGATAGTTCAGTTCAGACTTTATTTATGAATATAACAGCTATGCATTCCAGGTATGTTCAACAGCAAATTATATTTTATTTCTGTGATATATTGGATTTTTTATTTTGATCATAGAAAATAATGGTTTTTTTTGTAATAGATTATTAAGATATATCCAAGAACAAGATGACAGTAGAGTGTATTACGAAGGCTTGCAAGATAAATTAACTCAGATGAAAGATGCTAGAGCTGCTTTGGACGCGCTCCGAGATGAACATAAAGAGAAATTACGCCGAAGAGCAGAAGAAGCTGAGAGACAGCGGCAGATGCTGATGGCGCAAAAACTGGCAATCATGCGAAAGAAGAAGCAAGAATACTTACAATATCAACGCCAATTAGCTTTACGAAAGATTCAAGAACAAGAAAGGGAAATGCAAATGCGTCAAGAGCAACAGAAACAGCAATATATAATGGGTAATTTTTAATTTTGCTATTTACAATTATTATGCATTCTTTAATCTATTTTATCTTTATTTAAAAAACCATCTCTACTTTATGTTTATTCTATTTTTGCAGGAGGTTATCAAGCAGTTTCTGAGTTTATGGGACCTTCTCAAGGATCACCTGTTCGTCATGTCCACTATCCGACTGCTGGAACTAATTACAATCCTATGTCACCCACGAATCAAGGAGTTTATATGTATGGGCAACCAGCCATGGGTCAATATCCTATGCAAGGGTATAATATGCCACCGATGAATACTTTGCCAGTGCACATGATGCCATCGCTTCCTAATCCGGAGCAACAATCAGATCCATCGATCCAAGGACAGGAGAATATAGGTCGCGTGTCTATACCAGGCCCGGGAATAGTAAGTTTGCGAACTTTTAAACGTCTTTGTCGATTGTTTTTATCGATAAAACCTAAGTGTGAATATTGTTCTTTCAGATGCCGCCTCAAATGCCGCCTATTCAACAGCTTCAGCCACCGAGCAATCATCAGATTGGATCTCAACAAGGTCCCGCGGTACACGTGTCGCCAGGACAAGCTCAGGCAGGCAGACATATATCACCTCAACAAGGCGCCTCACCTCAAATGCCGCAGCAGGCCCCTCCTCCGACTCAAATCGGATTACCTCCGATACCCCCAGGGCACCTGGGTCCTTCATCAGGCCCGGTAGTTGCCGGTGCCGTAGTTGGTCTACCACCGCAAATGGGATCGCAACAACCGTCTACGTTGCCTGGTCAAGGACCCTCAATATCAACGCATATTTCCAATACTGCTATTTCGTCCAATCAACCTTCGAGTGTTATTCAAGTGCCTGCTGGAGCTAACAGTGGACCTGTTCCTGCAACGGGTCAAACTTTACCCGGCCCCCAAACGTCCGGTGTACCAACGATGCAAGGAATGACCCAAATTCCTGGCGCGCAGTCAATGCCATTTCAACCTGCTCCTCCAGTCCCGACTACAACCAACGAAACTTCGCGAGCTGCAGAAGATACAAAACCTAGAACGGCAGAGCTCATTTCTTTCGATTGAATAAATTGAATATTGTATGTAATACATTTAAAGTAACAGAAAAAAATGTTTTACTTTTTCTTCTAATTAGAACATTGTAAAGTTAAGACAGTTATAACAGTTGCTTATTTTACCGAATAAAATTCTGGCAATGAAGCCATATAATTTTACGTTTGTTGATTATTGACATAATACTAAACTGTTTTTAAGAAATATATTAGAACAGAACGAAATACGAACATGTATTTAATGGAATATTATATTAACAGGGTAGAGAAGATATGAATCCGGTTAGTTTTATATACACTTGTGCAATTTACGATATCAAACAAAACTGTTTCTTGCTATATTGTTCTTTAAAAAAAATATGTTTATAATAAACATATATCTATGCATGTACAGGATATCCTTCAACATATGAAATAAAGACACAATTTCTAATACAACAATTTGGTTAGTGTATATTTTTATATTCAACTCTTAAGTATTTAAGTCTTGTGTTTTACAGTCATTCGCAAAAGATTTTCAAGAATTTATTTTAGATATGAATATAAATGATCAATGCCGTCTGAAGTTGTTTATGTCCTTTATTTTTTAAATTATAGAAAAACTATAACCTCCTTAAAACAGGAATATATACACGTGAAATAATTACGAGAATTTTTGCGCGATTCTTTACCGTTAAAGAGATATTTATATCAAGTAGCGCGAATAAACTTTATTTAAAATTAAAACGTGAGGTGCCTGTATAGATAACGACAGCCCCAATAATTTCTAACACAAAGAAAAGTGTAACAATGATTTAACAATATTATTTAATAACTTCCACCTCCTCATTTTTTCCTGCGTTAGTCATAGATAAGATCCTTCATTGAAAAAATTAATTGCTATTACCAACACATATTGGATAAAAATATCATGAAAATTATTTCTACTAGTTATAAGATAAAACGTTCCCACTAAAATTTTTTTAAATTAATCAAGCAAACTCTTTTTGCTAACTCAAAAGTATGGCATGTACATACATTCTCATCCGTTCTTTAAAATTTTTAAAAGATACGCTTAGTTTGAATTGCTAGTCCGCCGAGTTAACTGTAACTGTACTGTTTTAATCACACAGTTTCCACTTGACCCTTTCTACGCGGCTTTGATTCTTGTCCCTGCGGAGACGTGAACGATGTTTCTTCAGAGTGTTTCCTACTAATCACAGACGAAGACTCGCTGCTATTCGAACAAGCACCTTGGCTGTCCCTCCTTTCTGGACACACGTGTACCACGTTCAGTCCATTGGACGTGAGAGAAGCTTTCCGAATACGCATGTCCTCTAGGGGGATCTCCTCGCTCCGCGGCCTTGGCATCTTGGGTGAACCGTCTCTAGATCGTAAACCGTTTTCATGAATCCTCTCGTTCGAACTGGCATCATCGCGTTTGGAACTCGACGATGCCACCGGCCTAACATTCTCCCTACGCATTTGTGCCGCGAACCCAGGAACTTTGTTTACCGTGAACATCGGCCTCGCTTGATCCCTTGGTCTCTGACCACGCCCGACTATACCTAGGAAAAAAAATTTGAATCAATCATTTACAAAGATTCTGCTGACTGATTTTTAGCTTTGAACTTACGTTCATGTCGTAAACTACGCAAGGCATAATTCGGTGGTGTTGAACAATGAGGCATACTTGTCGGAATATCCAACAATCTTGCAATCTGGTTCATCTTCTTTTGTCTTGCTTTTATTCGTCCCTTTGTCAACCTAAATTATTATTTGACCGAGATTTCATTAAGTAAAATAATAAATACGACTTTGCGTAAAGTTTGCTACGGAACCAACCTTTGTTTGGCGGCCATACATCGAATATGATCATCGAAAATAAATTTAGCCGACAGTAACGGTATACGATTGCCCGTACTGCTGCTTAACGGCTTGTAAATTGTCAGATATAAACATCTTGAATCATCCTTGTCGCCGGTCACATCAATGTCTTGTAAAAAACCAACTAACTTTGCAACACCCCATCCAAGTTTACTGATATCAGGTTCCACAAGAATCAATTGCACAACGTCAATGACTAAGAAACGGCGAATTTTCTGGCCGTCTTTCCACACGACAGTGCATGCAATCAAATCACTGTTATCTGTAGACAAAATTATAAATAACAAATCTTGCGTTTATCTAATTTTACTTATAATCACAATTAATAAATAAATGAAAAAAATTGCATATTAAATATCGCAATATATTAACTTTATCGTTTTTTAAGTAGTTATAACTATATGTGTAAGGGAGAGAAATAACTTTTACTTAGATCAAGAACGTTGTTGACTTGTACGCAGTTAGCCGGATTAGTCAGTGGTAATTGAGTTTCCGCTTCCATATTGAGTGTCAGAGATAGTTCTCTTATCAAGAAGAAAACTCTTATTGCACGACGTGCCCTTTCCACCTGCACAATCATTCACGATTTTATTCTCTCATCATAAATTACAATGTTGTTTCTCTTATATATTTACCTAAAAGTATGTTTTTTTCTATTTCTACCTACCTCACCACACGGCAGCCTTTTGCTAAATTCAATTCCAGTCATAGGTGTGCCTGTAGGAGGCAACAAAATATTGCTATCCATCATTAACCATTCGACATTTAATGGTCGTTTTTGAATTTCGCTATATTCGTCCTCAAACATGTCCAAAAAAATATCTTCACTCTAAGTAAAATTAATATATTATTAACATAAATATATTTAAGATAAAAAGCAAAGAAAATTTGCGCAAGCGCATCTTACAATTGGTCTAATTTTAATAATTCACCTTGTAAAAGTTTTTTAGCAGAGACGTGCTTTGTTCTTTCGCTGCTTCAATAACTGCTAGATGCGATTCTCGTAATAAGCATTGTCCTTCGGATACCGTCAGTTGTGTTAATAGCTTGATAGTTAACTCCAATGTAATGAGCCTCACTTTGGAATCTAACAAAGAATTGATATTCTTTACTTGGAAACTTTATGCGTGGTAGGTGTAAACGTTAAATTCACATATATTACAATGAAAAATATTGATATAACTCACTTGTTTGACAACTCAAAGTTATAATATGAATCAACCTCTCCATGAGTAATTCATTATAAGAATTTTTCGTCGACATGTCATTATGGAATGGAGACAGGATTATATTCAGAATTTTACGACTTATACCCTGGTAAATAATAGAATCAACTTATTATTATGTAAAATATTTAGAAATAAGACAGATGAGAGAACTTATAATGGTTACCTGATTATTAGCTAATGCATATAATAGGCAAAGCGCGAATAATGCAGCATAATCATTTTCTGTGCATAATAAAGAATTGGTTATTGTTTCTAGAAATGGTTTTTTTGTCAAGGATTCGAATAAGTCATTTTGACTTTGATGATGCATCAAAGGGCTCTCCAACGCCAAGCGTTGCTCTTTCTCCTCATCCGTCACATTCAAGTGCTTAATTTCCTCTAAGTCCTCTTCGCTCGGAATACTTGTATTTGGTGGTGTACTCATAAGAACGGGAGTATTTACAGAAGTTGAAGCATCGTCAAACGATGTGCTTGGGTGATTGATATCTTGCGTATCGTCAATTGTACTTTTATCTTCTTTTATATTTCTTGTACTGTTTTCTTGATCGTAAGACTCTTCGGGTGTTGAGCGCATTTCATTTAAAGTCTCCGAAGATTTTTTCAACGTTTCTTTCGGCGGTGAAAGAATAATAGACCTATTCGAGGCTATATCCCCAAATTTTTCCAGAACCTCATTCGTTCCAATTTGAATCGTCTCTAAATCGGACATGAGCATCACGGCTGCTAACGTATGTACAAGAGGTCCGTGCGATATTATCAAAAAGACTTGAGAAAGTAGAAAAAGCGCTACCACAACACTGACGTGTTTTCTCTCATCCTAAAAATTCAACTTATATAATTATTCCTATAATGAAGGAGATAAAAATTCGATCCTTACCTGAGTTTGGCACAAAGCGTTTTTGTATTTCATCAGAGAATAGACATACAATGGGACTAACAGTTTATTTAATAAATGTTCCGATAGAACTTTGTTCAAGTCCGGTATGTTTAAACATAATATGTCGTTTAGATAATGCAGATGATCCAAATGTTCCGCAACCAAATCCGACAATCTATTTTGACTCTGGTGACTAGAAGGAACATTTTATTAATAACAGAAAAAGAGACGTTTTAATATCGAGACACTTACTCGGCATCGTTCCGGACACAAGTGTCTAATTCTATAATGTGATCCCCGATAAACCACACGAGATTACTGAAATATGGCGCGGCTGTGCGATCTCTTATGAAGGCTAGCATAGATGCATCTTCGACGCGATACACATTTAGCGTCAGAGTTCTCACGGCTATGCGCACCATACCTTCCGAATGATTGAAAAATTTGATTGCTTCTGTGTACAGTGGAAAATCATTGGTATGCTAATGACAGAAAGAAACCTATTACAATCTGGTCAAAAACAGTGAATTTTAGTGGATAATTCTAATACAGGCATATCCGTATGCATCTTATTATATATTTCTTTAGCAATTATTCACACGATCAACAAACTCAAGCTAAATTAAAGCACAGAATATCATTATGCGTGTACCTCGTTTACCTCATTATAGAAGAAATGGATAGTATGTGCGTTTAATTTCAGACTCAACGTCTTCAGGAAACTGATGTAATACGCCATTACTTCTTCATCGCTAAAGTCAAATTTGTGCACTATTATACTGTTCACATGATTGTTACTCAGTAGATAATCTAAAAACAAAAGGATTTCAACAAATTGATCACTTGGAAGTTGCTTAATATAAAAGAAAAAAGCTTTTACAAAACTCACATAAGGATGTTTCATTGCGTATGTTCTCAAACAAAATATTTAACGTTTGAAGCAACTGGACGCACACGTAGCTCCCACATTTCTGCTTCATAATACGCAGGAAAAACGAAAGCATGTTTTTCTCCAGAAAAAAACTGTAAATATATAATATATATTTATATCCTATTATGCTTCTATATTTTGTCAAGGTATTAGCTTGGATTTTAGAACGATATCATCAATAAAGATTCAGAGATGGCAATGAGAGAGAGATGGCATTGTTATTGTATCTACTAACTCGAATACACTACTATCATTTTGATCGCCCCATATGAGAATCTCAGCTATCGAACGTAGAGTTTCGACCAGCAAACCTCTGTTGTTCTCAGACACGGTCTGATTCTTCGACAAGACATTGTACAGGTACCTGAATGCAAACACAAACAAACGCATTTGTAAGTATAGCTTTTTAGCGACGCAACAGCGAGCAGCACATTGGCTGACCGTCCACGACGTACTTAAGGTGCTCCGGGGAATGCGGGTTCTTGGGCTTCCAAAGCCCGCCGCCGAACCAGCTCCGACTGCGAAACATTTTCAGCTATCTCGAACGGATGTGCCCGCATTCGCGTTCCATCCAAGCTCTACCTCCTCCTGCGTTGAGCAAGCGTCTCCTTCTCACGCGACAATCGTAGAGACATACCGTTCTGTCGAGCTCGTGCCCACCGTACAAAGCAGCGTGAACGGCATAACTGTCTTATCACGAAGGATTTTATATTTTACATCGCCGTCCAGGTTAAGACTTCGAGTCTACCACAAACGAGTGAAACGAGTCGTTTACTGCCTCGTTAATGCGCACGTTAAGCGTCCGTTCATCGTCTTTGGCCTGATGACACGTTAATCTCGCTCCTTCGGCCGAGCCATTGATCGTTGAATTTTACACGACGCAAAACAGAATCCAGCTTGATTCGACCTGCATTTAAGACGGAGATCACGATTGACGACTGATGAATTACGAACGTCTGAATTTGGATTAGGTTAGGGTTAAAGGTTAGGTTAGGTTAATATCTGGTCACCATAAACTTTACATAGATAGGCTAGTCCATTTCTATCAATGTGGATCTCGATTTAACTTAAATTTTTTTTTAACTTTTTGTATGTATAGCACGTGTATTTTTTTTCTATAAACAGTTTCAAGCAGATCGCTGATAATGAAGGTGCTGGAGCTGTACAGTGGCATTGGAGGGATGCATTATGCGCTCCGTGGTAAATTCTCACGCAATGGTGTATTATGAACCTTATTATCTCTATAAACATTAAAATCAATCAACCTGGTGGATGTTAACTTGTCTTCATTATGCACGTTGTATCGTTTCAGAGAGTGGAATTGCGGCAAAAGTCGTCGCAGCAATTGACATAAATCCCGTTGCGAACGACGTGTATCATCACAATTTTCCAGAAACTGCTCTCATGAACAGAAACATACAGTCTATTAACGCACAGGAATTGACTAAGTTGAATGCAGACGTTATACTCATGAGCCCTCCGTGTCAGCCTTTTACCAGATTAGGATTGAAGAAGGATGCGCTTGATAACAGAACTTGTTCCTTGCTGCACATTTTGAACCTGATACCAGAATTAAAAAGCTTGAAATATATCTTGCTTGAGAATGTCAAAGGTTTCGAGATGTCTGCAATGAGGAACAAACTAGTAAACTGCATAGAAAATTGTGGGTATACCTACAGAGAGTTAATATTAAGCCCGTGTCAATTTGGTATACCAAACACTAGACACAGATATTATTTACTGGCGAAGAGGATTAATCTGAAGTTCTGTTTCAAACAATCCTCGGTTGAAAGTAGTTTGCCACCTGAATTGTTCGAGTTACTGCCAAAAAGTGAGCACTCGGTATTGGCAGAGAAGAAAGGCAAGATTAATCCGAGATCTGGTAGATTGTGTTACACGTTAGACAATATTTTGGAAAATACTGAACAATCGAGATATTCGCTACCTTCTAAATTGTTACAAAAGAGAGCATGGGTGCTGGATATACGAACGTCCGAGAGCAGCGGTTCCTGTTGCTTCACGAAAGGATACGGGCATTATGCGGAGGGTACGGGATCTGTGTATTGCCCGTTTACGGACGACACAATCAGATCGAAGTATAACGAAGCTGGCAGTCGGGAGAACGATTCGGATACGCAAATGCGGATCTTGTCGGATTTGAAACTCAGGTTTTTTTCACCGAAAGAAGTGTGCCGATTAATGTGTTTCCCAGACGATTTCCATTTCCCAAAGCATATCACGGATAGACAAAAGTACCGACTACTAGGAAATTCAATAAATATTCACGTGGTTAGCAGATTAATACATTTATTATGTACTGAAAATGAAGATGCATGAAAAATCAATGGAACTGCCATATTCTCCACCCATTGTCCCATAGCTCGATGCTCTCTTACAATATTTCCTATATATTCTTACATGCTAAATCAGAGAAGTATTTTATGTAGTATTGTGGTAGTAGGTACCATATTTGTATAATTTAAAATACCTAGAGAATGATTTAAATTCTAAGTTATATGTACAAAATAAAGTCTCTTCTACAACTCTACAAAGTAGAAGGAAAATTTGTAGAACACAATTGCAACGTTAAAACATTCACCAAACCATTCTATTGTCAAATCTATTCGTAATATAAATAAATATACGTCGTATAGCTAATCGGTATATCTCCGAACTTTTCTACATGTTTTCCAAATCAGGTGGAATAATGATCTTCTTTTCCTGGGCAAATTTTTTCAGCGCTTGGTACTTCGAATGCCAGGATTCTATCTCTTCCCTCATACGATTGTTGTCCTCCTGCATATTTTCCATGTCGCGATACTCCTGGGTCTTCTCAGACTCCAATTCGTCCTTCTGCTCGATGCGCTTTATGCGACAGCTGGCTGCATAGCCCCTGTTCTTCAGGGTGCGTCTCCGTTGCTTCATACGTACGATCTCCTCTCGGGACAGCCCGCGTAGCTTCAACTGCCTGTTCAAGTCCCGCACCGATATCGTAACGAGCTCGTCGTCGCTAATGTCTAGACATGGGCCAGGTGAGAGCGGATCCTGTATCAACGGGTAGTACAAGATACTTGATGAAAACTCGACATTCTTGTGGTGGACATTGTATGGAATTTATGCGCCTCGTTTTTGCTCATTTGACAAAATTATGCAACATTCAAGTTAAACAATGGAAATTTATACGTATGACTTGTCAATTTTGCCTCTTCAAGCGCTCGCATTTGTAAAGGTATCGAGAAAGAGGAGACGCTCACACAGGTACGCGATACGCTACGTAAACATACCATTTTGATCGATCTCTTTCCATCCATAGCTATCCCCGAGCCGGTGGTTTTTCACGCCCGAGAACGGAATAGTCTCGAAAACGCCCGGATTCCCCTGTCTTTTGCGTTTTCCCGATAAATATGCTTAGTCATTCTCGCAGACCTGAAAGACCGAGCTCGCCGAGTTCTCCCCGCACTGTTGGTACAGTTCTAAAAACATCAATCCCGTATGTATGCAATTAGCCTATATTCGGCACAAAACGTCGCCTACAGCTTTTATTTTGTTCTTTGTCGAATTCTTGAAATTTCAATCATGTTGCATATCCAGCTATTAACTTTTTAAACGTATGGATTATCGGTTGTAAAGTGTACATGTATTCAGACATGGTTAGAGTACCATGAAATACATGAGATGCAGAGAACAAGGCGGCAAACCTGATTGGTTACTCCATGTTGTTGAGACAGTTCCTGATATATCGAGTAAAACGTGATTGGTTAAAGTTACAATAATAGATATATATACATACATACATTCCATGTACTGACAGTACTAAAAATCTATAGCATACTGGCATACGTAACGTGAACTATAAATTTTTAGTACTGTTAATACATTTTGAAATACACCTAATATATGCTTATAATTTTTACTTTTTACTATTTTACGTCAAAATAAAATAAAATAAAGGACAAAGCATCTCGTAAATTATTGCCAATTTCTTTTTATGTTCTTATTATTTAATAACTAATATTTTTATATGCAGATTTTTATAATTAGAACATTATTTTAAAAAGATTATATAATTTTATTTAAAAAATGGCTATGAGCTTTATGTGACTTTGAAAAATCAATTTTTTTTCGAAAATTGATTTAACGATTATTTGTCTCTCTTTAGACCATAAAACTTTATTGTTTTAAATATTTTTGTCGGGCTTAGTTTTCGAAATACTCAAGGTATTTTGTTGTAGACACACTAGCTCTGTACACAATTTATACTGCACATTTTTAATACTCCAACTTTTGATGATCTATATAATTCATGTCAGATTATTAACACTTAAAAATTATTAAAAATTTTTGGATATAAATTTCGCTGATACAGTTCTACTTATAATTTCTTATGTCATATATTCTGATGAATGTGTGTATTATTTCTATAATAATAAAATAATTAAGGACTCTCAATAATAATAAGAACATAAAAAGAAATTGGCAATAAGAGAGTCGATCGACGCGGTTATTAGTGCGTAATGTCAAAAGACAGATATATTTGCATATTACAAATTTCCGGACGTTTCGGCTCTTCTTCGAGCCATCATCAACGGTATAACAATAAACCATTCTCCATCATAACCATTGAGCCTTTGCGCGGATTAGGGGGGTCGGAAAACCATGAGAACTAAATGATTGCTATCAGATAGTCCGGAGAACGGAAGATGGTCAACAATAATATAAAATTACATTAAAGATTAAAGTGCCTATGACATATTATTGTCACAATAGATCGCACGACACTGTTATAGCATCTGATAACAATCATTTAGTTCTCATAATTTTCCGACCTCCTAATCCGAAGGTTCATGATTATGATGGAGAATAGTTTATTGTTGTACCGTTGATGAGCCGAAACGTCCGGTAATATGCAAATATATCTGTCTTTTGACATTACGCACTAATAATAACCGTGTCGACTCTCATATTGCCAACTTCTTTTTATGTTTATACTACAAAATTACAAATGGAATATCTATTATATAGTTATTCGGATTATAGATCATATAGTCAGTCTTTAACGCTAAATATAATTATTTAATTTTGAATTTTATTTTTATTTATTTTGTATTGAATGTTGCATAGTCCTGCAATATTATGATGACAATCGAATGATTTATAGATTTGATATTAAATATGAGTGAAAGGTTAGAGATAGAAAATAAAGGAATCACAATGCATATACATATATGCGTATATTAACTAGCAAAATATTAACGAAGCTTATGTTAGAATTGCATAAATATACTATATCGCCAAAATATTTTACAGATAAGTTATAAATGTGATAGTGTATAATATGTAAATAAATAATACAAAATTCGAACCTATCATTTATTTCGTTCCACTGACAAGAGATAAGTTTAATAATTTAATGTTTTGTGATCTCTCTCTCTCTCTCTCT